CATCTCCTCTCTCACACCTCACACTCCACTCAGCGACTCTCCCCGTATACGCACACCATCACACCGCCACAATAAATCCCTCCTCCTCTACCTCCCACTATCATTCCTTCGCCACACTCTTCACAATAGCCCTTCTACTCACACCCGCCGCATCAATATAAACCAATCCTACATTTTTAAACCGCGCGCCGATATTTCTCGAAATATCTCCTGCTTCAGGACCATATTTGTGTTCGACGACTGTAGTAGCGGCAGTGGATGTGGACGCTAGGAGATTCCGTCCTGCTTGATCGATACCATCGGCTATGGTGGAGAAAGCCATCATGGATTTATTGAGAAGTCCGGGTTTATAATCATCGATTGGTTTGCCATCTGGACCGGTTCTTTTGTTGGAGGATTTTTGAGCCGCATTACGTTTGGCGAGGGAGGCGCCAATATTTTGTGCGTATTTTGTTACTTGACCTACGGTTTTTGCGGAGAGACCGGCTGCGCCTTCGGTGAATGTGTGGACTCTGCGAATGTGGGCGTGAGTGGTAGGAGTAAAGGTCATGGGTTTGGTGGTGGGAGCAGATTTGGAAGTGTAGCTTTCGGCTTGGGATGTGAGGGTTTTAGAGACGTAACTAGAGGTTGTTACAATGAGACGTGAAGCCATGGCGGCTTTGGAAACGAGGGTAGAGGATTTATAGGCGGGATGCATGGCCATTTCGAGGTAGGCTGGAGAGGCTGGAGCTACGCCTATGTTTTGAGAACCATCTTGGGGGAGGGTAATCTCGACAGGATCTAACGAGGGATGTTTGTTAGAAATGTGCAAGGAGAGGCTAGGTGAGAAAACAAATACATACCTTTCGATCCCGGTTTCATTCTAGCATCCTCAACTACATGAAATCCTTCACCCAATTCACCAACCACACTACCATTTTCCTCATCAATCAAAACAATTTGTCCACCTACGTGAGAACTAGAACTTCCAGGAACATAAGCTTCTCCTGGAGCAAAATCCGATGGATTATATGCAGGAATCGGTTCCGTTTTTGCAGATTTAAGTTTTTCTTTTCTCGGACGAGAAGATTGTGGAGGAGGAGCGCGCTCAAGAAAAGCCGTACATTGTGCCAAAATCGTTTCAAAAGTATCGATATCATCCTGACTAATTTTCGAGGCTCCCACAATAGGGAATTCAATTCGGGTAAAAACACCACTTTCGGGTCCCAGGTCCCATCGTGGGATGAGGTAGCTGCTGGGTGGTTGATGATATATTTGGGTTGTGGCTGGGAGGGGTAGATCAAGCTCAGGAGGGAGATGGAGATGCAGGTAGAAGTCTTCTTCTGGGGTTTGGGATTGGGGATCTGCGACTGAGAGGCCTGAGAAGGGGGAGGAGGTGGGGACCATTAGGAGAGAGAGGGTTTGAGGTCCATTGGGTGTGAGGGAGTCTTCTTTGCCATTTTCGATATGATATGCATTGATACCATTGATGGCATAGAGGAGCTTAGGATCCTATATGATATTAGAATTTGCGTGTGAGGAACTTAGGAATTGCTCAGAGGGATATTACATTACGTCCTGACGCCATTTTGATTTCTAGTATGAGATACTGTATGATATCTAGACACTCTTTGCCCTTTATTTGTAGATAATAAGAATCAAAGACCTTTGGGTTGAGGCAGTGCAGTAAGTTTGCGATTACCTTGTACAGAGGGGTATTTTGCAAAAAGAAGTCGACGAAGAAATAAACACAGAAAGATGACCCAAATCAAAACAAATCAACTTAACTTTTCTCAACAAATGACACTCTCTTATCATTCACTCCCAAAGAGCGGTTATTCATAAATAGAGTTTCTTACCTAGACGCTTCAAACAATTGGTGCTCGCCAAGAAAGAAAAGATGCGATAGAACCAATTGACGATGACGTACAAGGAATATGAGAATCAGGGCGTTTACCAAAATTGCCCCTCCTTTCATCTGAATGATCGAAATGGTTTTAGTAAAGGTGGCTGAGTCGAAGAATTCGTGAACATCATCAATCATATCATACCTATCAATCATCATTTTTGCATTCTTTCTGGTAAAGTTTCATGTTATCAGGTTTTTATCATATCATAGATAGGTATTCACTTTTTGTAAGAGGACCTTGGCTTCCAAGAATTGAAATGGAAAATGAAAATGAAAATGAATTCCAGTCTTCAAAATAGAATCTTGGAGTTACCATTTCACGTCTCGTCTCACCTCTCACCAAATCTCCAATCTCGATGAAGGGTGTTAAAATAATTTATGGCTGAAGAAGTGGCTGATTCCACTCGATAGAAAATGTCGAAAATAAAAAAAAGAAACATGATAAAATGCTCGATTGAGTAATTCATGAGGTTATTGTATACATACAAAAACCCTCTTCGTGATACTATGGATGATAATGATATTCCTATCGATGAAGTTATTTATTCCTTGATATTTATCTTCACCCTTTCAAACGATTTGTCATCATAACCCCATATTTACTTCTTCCAAAAGCCATATCAAAGCGTTTTTCACCCCGCCACACATACAATACCATACCATACCATCAACCACCGATATCAGGAGTACTCTGTAATATACAAGTAGCAAGTGAACAGTAGATCCAAGCGTAAGGCTCAAGATAGAGTAGATAGGTACTAGGTAAGTAAGTAAATTCGTACATTTCTTCTATTCTTCTCTTCTCTTCTCCCGAAGAAACGGAATATAGGAGAGTTTCTGCTGAAGAGAACGGGGACCAAAAATTTATGAGTCTCGTATAAATCATTGGAGGACCATCCAACTCGAGGTATCTTGTGAGGTGGTTGAATCCCCGAATTGGGCATACAGAGACACCTTATTATACATGTAGGAGCACGGTCAAGTTACCCAATGGTCTTGGTATTCTACGATATTCTCGACGGTAGTTCTGCTCTGGCTTCCGATATGTATGCTCTGCGGTTGGGATTCTCTGATTGGCTTTTGAGGTAATACGGCTGGCTGGCTATATAACTTGCATCGTTGTATGCTTGATTGGAATCTAGAATGGTATCAACCATATCATAGGATGTACCATACAGTATTGTTATATGTTCGAACATGGATGTTTGTCTGTGATGATTTGTTTTATCCTTATCCAAAGGTAAGGAGTTCTGAACATATACTTACGCGTAAGACTCTAGGCTTACATTTCATGTTTATTTGACAGACAGCGTCTTGGACAATGTAACCAGATATCATATGCAAGAGAAGAAGGTAAGGTGTGCTAGTTGGTTATCTGTGCACACTGCACTTTAATACTTCCCGTTACCCGCTGTATGTGATACCAAACTTTCGAACACGACTCATCGATTCGAGTCGAGTTGTCAGCATTGACATTCTGGTAAGAGGGGACTTTATTTGGCTGAGATCTGGTGATTCGAATGAATACCTGGCTATGGTAATGGTTGATATGCGGATCCTTTCGAATCCATGGTTCGATATCGTTATTCATATGTATGTGAGAAATTGGAACGGTTGTGGAGGTATGGAAAAGGATGAGATTATTTGCATATTTATATAGATGTCTGGGATGAGAGTTAGGACTTTGAAGAGTAGAATCTTGGGCACATATATAACATGAGATATTTGTTTCTAATGTTTCTATAGGTGATAGCTCAAATGGTTCAAGATATCTCGATATCTCACGGGATAGAAGTACATGATAGACTAACTGATAAACAAACTGACATGAAGTAGTAACACATGGTGACAATATCGACTTTTCAAGTCACCTAAGGATTTTTCTCCATCCCGAATACTCTGATCAATATACAAGTCAAATATCTACTTGTTGGAGTACAAAGTACAACTAGGGGATTTCCAACACTCGAGTCAAAATCGATGATCTGGATTCCCCCGCATCAATATTTCTGTAAAGTAATGATATTACCAAACAATTTAAGAGCAAGGGTATGGTGTACAGAGTACATGATTTGATTCCGATGATTCGCCCGTGTTGACATGTCCGACATTTCGTCGTTCAGTCCAGACTTGTGTAGGTCATGAAGATTTTTGATATTATTTCTAAGAATAAAGATAATAGGTAGCAGTAATATAATTAACCAACTACCATTCGAGCAATAAACCTTCTTTACCCTTTGAAGATCCGAGAACCCAAATCAATATAATTCACGCCCAGGCGGGTAACTTTTCGAGCACAGCATAATGGGGATTAAAGAAATCCTAGATACCAATATAATAATAAATGTACGATTGGAAGTGTGCACGTAGTTATTCTTTGTAGGAAAGTATCCAAATGGATGGATACGAAAGTCAGCTACCTAGCCAATGATATATGGGATTGTCTCCGAATATTTCCCCAGATCAAAAAGCCATTGCCAGACCGCAAAGTGGAATGAGTTTCATGTTGGCGTTTTTCTGCTTTTTTGGTGGTGGACGAGGATGGAAATACTTCTTAATGGAGAGTAGTGTAGGGATATGGAAGGAAAAGGAATGCTTCTTAATGAAAGGTATTTTATTTTGAAAAAGGTCAATGAGGTCTATGAGTAAAAAGATGTCTAGATGGATATACTGTTAGTTCCACGGATAATGTAGATGTTCATGCAATGAAGGCAGAAATCCTATTCCTTTATATGTATTGGAGATGTTTGGCTTGAACTGCTGATGATTATCGAATTGCATGTAGAGTACAAGTAAGTACTCAAGCTGCTAGATACTTTTGTCGTGTTTGTATTGTACAAGACGTAGATAGGTTGATGTGTAGATAGATGGGTAGATGGGGAGATAGATACTCGTGGATAACGATGACTTGATTGAATTATAATTATTAATAATTCATTAATCATTCAATTACGAGTATCTAACTAAATAATTCCAATACTAGGTACTGTGTATAGGTATACTCACACCTTAGTTCAGACTTATAGGAGACATCACCTATAGGAGACATCTTAAATCAAATCATCTCTTACATGGCAGTATCATTATCTTATCCGACCTTCCTACCTAGTACCGATACCACCTACCCAAGGCCTATCCATTTTTATCAATAATCGGATGACAAACAACCAAGTCTAGCACAGTTTTCTCTTTTTCATCCGGCCGAGATCGCGCATTTGCTCGGATCTTTTTCCTTCAACTGCACCGCTCGACTCATTTCTTCTTGGACTCCCTCGCACTGTTATTCCGATGGCCATACCGGTCAATGAAAGTATCTAAGATTACAACCAACTGCGAGGAGGGTAATAATAGTAAAACGGTACGATAGCTAGGAGAATGTAAGGAAAAGAATTGAAAGGATTATTGAGCAGATTTAAAAGATTCAAAAGATCAAGGAAATTCAAACTACCGACCCACCATACCATACCATTCCATTCCATCCCATACACTTCGGCTTCATCCCTTCCCGCCCGTACTGCAACTCTAACTTGACTCGCACTCATCGATGAATGAAACGATTGATTTATTCATTCAATAAACAAATTCAACAAACAATCCATCTGTCCATCTGTCCATCTGTCCATCTGTCCATCTATCAATGTATCTATCGATCCAAGCATCCGTCAATCTATCAATCATCTGTCTTACCTAAACAAAATACCATTACCTCCTTGGGTATCTAAGGATTTACTCGGTGTACCTGACAAATAATTGCGAATTTGCCTTTTACAGTACTTCCCGGTATATAACCTTCCGCCTTTGTACCCCTACCTTCTGAAGCCTTCCTCAGCAAAAGCATCACTCCAATCACCCATTTTGCCCTTCCCGTTCCCGCCAAAGCAAAACAAA